CTGGTCGTTCTGTGTAGGCTCACGGGCAAGAGCACCGTTCGGGGGTCTGCCTGCCTAGCCAGTCTTGGCAGTCGTTTTTAAAGAGATGGCCCCCCAAAGAAGAAAGTCTCCATAACCCTACCACCCTCGTGGAGCACTGTGAATATCACCGTGCTAACAGTGGCCACTGTAGGCTGAGAGCTACCCCACCACACACCACGGTCCCGTTTCATGAGCACAGGACCTCTGTGAGGCGGGTGCTGGGGAGAAGGGGGTGAATTGTAACAGCTGGAAGTGGCAGAGCTGGGATTCGAACTCAGATCTAGCAACAGATCCCACCCTTTCAACACCATCTTGCAGCTACTGTCTGGTCCGGCCTGTGATGTTTTGCCTTAGTCCTCTTTTTAAAAATGAGAATGCTTCTTTTCATCTTCCCTCCTTATAATACTCACTGTAGAAGATCTGGAAAATTCAGAAAAATGGAAAGAGGGTCAAAAGAAAATCTTCTGGAGCCCTGCCACCCAGGCAAACACTGTTCATATACCTTAGTGAGTTCCTTCTGTCCTTTTCCTCTCTGCACTTTAGAAACAGTTGGAATCCCTGAGTGTAGATAATTCTGTAGATAATCCTGCTGGGCCACTCTTGGTTTTCAGTCGACGCTCCTTCCCCAGCCAGACTGCCTCTTTTGCCAGAGACCGCTGTGGCAGGAAGGTTCTGGATCGCTTTTAAGAGCGAAGTTCATTTCAGGGGCATCACAACACATTTCTTCCAGCTCAGCCTCCGACCTTGAAGCTTGCAGACCATGCATAGCTCAAGGAAGACTTAAAAAAAAAATAAAAAAAGGAAATAGCTGAGCAACACCACCTGTTTGCTCATGTTCACACTTATATGCCCCGGCTCCTGGCTGTGGCAGCCTGTGGCATCCTCCGGACGGGTGCTGTCATGCCCACTTTACAGAGATGTAGCCTGAAGCTCTGAGAGGCCAAGGTGGGGCCTGGGGTCACACCGAGAGGAGGAGGCAGAGCCCAGCCCACAGATGGACTTGGCTGCCCCCAGACCCTCACGGCTTGGAAGCCCTTGGGGTTCCCCTTTGAGCCTCCTCCAGGGTATCTCCTGGGATGCAGAATCCAGACACACGGTCCCATTTGCTGTTTCCCATTTTGGTGGTGACAGGTCAAGGACGGGCATCTTGGCACTGACTGAGCCTGCTGGGGCTTTGTGGTTGACCTCAGGGATGCTGCTGGGAGTCCCATGGGCCAGGTAGCAGGAACCCCATTTTACAGATGAGGACACCAAGGCTCAGCTCACCTGCCAGTGGAGATGAGACTCCAGCCTGGATCCCCGACTCCCAAGGTAGAGCTTTGATCATCACAGTCTGTGCCCTGGGCGTTAATGACAGCCAGAGACTACCGTGTCCCAGGGACCCCTCCAAGAGTGTTGTATGTATTTACTTTTAATTTTCTTAAGAACCCCATGAAATAGGTACTTCTTAGAAGTATTTTTTTTTTAAATTTATTTATTTTAATTTATTTATTTTTGGCTGCATTGGGTCTTTGTTGCTGTGCGCGGGCTCTCTCTAGTTGCGGCGAGTGGGGGCTACTCTTCATTGTGGTACGTGGACTTCTCATTGCGGATGGCTTCTCTTTGTTACGGAGCACGGGCTCTAGGCGTGCGGGCTTCAGTAGTTGTGACCCGGGGGCTCAGTAGTTGTGGCTCGCAGGCTCTAGAGTGCAGGCTCAGTAGTTGTGGTGCACGGGCTTAGTTGCTCAGCGGCATGTGGGATCTTCCCAGACCAGGGCTCGAACCAGTGTCCCCTGCACTGGAAGGCAGATCCTCAACCACTGCGCCACCAGGGAAGCCCCAGTAGGTACTTTTTAATCCCCATTTTGCAGATGAGTAAACTGAGGCACAGAGACGGGGGTTAAGTAACTCATCCAAGGTATTATGGCTACTGAGTAGTGGGCCCAGGTGGTATCAGGTAGCCTTGAATTCTTTTCTAATTATTGTGCCGTGAAGGTCTCTAGCAGGGAGTTGCGCTGCTCTGAGCCATGCCTATTCCCTCACTCACATCCTTCTGAGCCTTGGGGCACGTGTGTGCAAAATGGTGGCCACAGGCCTGTGGGTGTGCACGGGGCTTGCTAGCCTGGGCCCTTGCCCGGGGACCTCACTGCCCCCGCTTAGTCTGCAGCAAACGCCTCCCAGATGCCAGCCCTGAAGTCCAGGGAGGCCGTGTGATTAAGGAGTTGAGACTAGGGTTTGGAGTCAATACCCCTGGATTGAATCCTAGTGTTGTCACTTTGTTCACTTGCCTCTGTGACCTTGGGCAAATCCTTACCTCTCTGAGCCTTGGTTTCCTCATCTGTTAATGAAATAATGCAGATAAATCTCTGGGCTCCTTATATGTTGATGTCTCTGTTCCTTTCTGGGAAAAGCCTTGGGCTTGGAGGGGAGGGCAGGAATCATCCCTGAAAATGAGGAAAAAGGAGAGGACATTGGACTTTCTGGCCTAGAGGGAAGGATCCTGGGCTTCTGCTTGATCAGAAAAAAAAATATATATATATTTCTCCCCACAGGATGTTTATTAATTACAAAGGAAAATAGTAACTTTACAGTGGAGAAACCTCAGGGAGACATCACTTTAACTAAGTGGTCAAAGTTACCATGACTAGTACAGGCGTACCTGGGAGATACTTTGAGTTGGGTTCCAGACCACCGCAATAAAGTGAATATTGCAGTAAAGCGAATCACGCTTTATTTTTCCCAGTGCCTATAAAAGTTATGTTTACACTATACCTTAGTCTATTAAGTGTGCAATGGCATTATGTCTAAAACACAATGTACATTTAAAGAAAATATTTAAGGAGCAGTTTGCACATGAACCTGGGCTGGGTGCCTTCCTTTTTCTTCCTGCAAAATGGGTATGTCTCCCTGCTCCTTCTTCAGTGGTTCTGAATGAGCCCACAGGACGGACGGACCTGCAGGGGGACTGCTATGCAGCTGTTGTTTGACTTTTCAACTTGCGAAGGGATTTGCAGACATTTTAGTTTGCTTTCCCCAACCTTTGCTGAGAGTTTTCAGTGTGGGTAAAAGACACAGTCACACACTTAGTGGAGAGCAGTTTGCATTCAGTCAGAATGAAAAGTGCAATTCTCTGACCCAGCAGATCCCACCTAGGAGTGTGACTGACAGGTTCATGCACCAATGCGCTCAAGGCCAAGTGTATGGAGGAAGGCTTTATAACACCAAAGCCTGGAAACAACCTCAGTGTCCCTTGATAGGGGTTATGTCAATTATGGTATATCCCATCCGCCCCAAAATACTACGCAGCCGTTAAAAAAGTGAGACTGATTTCTGTGTACTGTTTTGAATTGATCATGGAGATTCTTAAGCAAAAATCGTGGTTGCTAAGTGAAGTGAGTCAGACAGAGAAGACAGATATGTGACATCACTTATATGTGGAATCTAAAAAGACTGATACAAATGAACTTATTTACAAAACAGATAGAAAACAAATTTATGATTACCAAAGGGGAAGGGGGTGGTGGAGGGATAAGTTAGCAATTAGGGATTAACACGCTACTATGTATAAAACAGATAAACAAGGACCTACTGTATAGCACAGGGAACTGTAGTCAATCTCTTGTCATAAACTATAATGGAAAAGAAGCTGAAAAAGAATATATATGCACACACGTGCCCGTGTATAACTGAATCACTTTGCTCTACACCTGAAACATTGTAAACAAAGTATACTTCAATTAAAAAAATTTTTTAAAAACGTGGTTGCACCACAGGGTGTGCAGTGTGCTTCCTCCTGTCTAAAACAAGGCATATATACGGATAAACAAGCTGGTGCATATATGGCATAGTTCTGGAAAGATTCATAAGAAACCAGTAATAGTGGTCAGTCCTGGGGGATTTGAGAGACTGACTTTTCATTGCACATCTTTTGTATTGTTTTGGACTTTGAGAGACAGTAGAGCATGGTGGTTACATAATGAGCACACACTGGGGCCCATGGCCTGGGTTCACCCCCTGGCTCTGCTGCCTACTAGCTGTGTGATCTTGGGCTACTTACTTAACCACCCTGGGCCTCATTTTCTCATAATTTGGATTTTCACATTTGTAAAGTGCTCAGAATAATGTCGGAGATATAGTAGGCATTGCATAGATGTTTGCTGTTATTAATTAATTGCCCTTTACATGCATCCTATTTTTAATTAGGAAACCAGCTAACACAAATAGAGGCTTTAAGGATTGGAAAGGAAAATAGGCTCGCAGCCAGTTTGCGTCAGGCGCTGATTAGAAAGGAGGGCTTGGGGCTTTCCCTCCAGGGTCGATCCCCTCCTCCCCAGGAAGTCTAGAAGGACTGCCTCTAGCTCAGAATCGGGGGTGTGAACTGGGAGTGGGGAGAACTCTTTCCGTCACTGCTTTGCAGGAGGCATCGGGCAAGCTTGGCTCCAGGGCCCGGGAAGCCCGGTGGAGGCACTGGCTTCTTGGTTGCGGGATCCTCTACTGCGAGGCCTGGAGAAACTGCCCCCAGCTCCCAGCATTTGGGATTCCGCCCCGATCTCGAGCAACCTGTCTCCATGAAGCCCTTTATTTCCCTCACACCCACGTGCTAAGTGGCCAACCTCGTGGGTGCAAAACAGGGAGAGACAGAGAGAGAGTGAATGGCCTTCCGTGGGACCACTGGGGCGGGAGCTGGGGAGAGCGGCGGCTGGACCCAAGGGCGCCCGTGGAGGAGAAAATGTCCGGCCACGTCCATGACAGTTCAGGTGTGATCCAGCTTCTGCGACACGGGGGCTGAGTGTGATCCCGGCTTCTGAGGCTGGAGTTTCACCTGTCAGCCAGTGGGGACCCACCTGTCAGCCTAGCTGGACCCAGCAGGCTCCCGAGGTTCCTTGGTATTGGGCAGAGGAAGGTCCGTGGAGGCAGGGGCCTTCTGGGAAGATGGCTTAGGGTTCTGCCGCTGCTGGTTTTTCTGCAGGTTAATGATTTGTGAAGGTGAGGGCTGGGCCCTTGCTGGCGCTGTCCTGTGCTCCCGAAGCGGCTGGGGAACAGGGTGAGAGCTGGCTGGCGTGCACAGGTCATGAGTCAGTGAGCCTTCTCTGTCGCTGGGACTTCAGCCTTGAACGCCCTCTGATCAGATTTCTGGCCTTCTATTTGCAGGTGAGCGCTGGGACGGTGCTGGTGAGCTGCACCCTGTCTGATGGCTTCCTCCCATCCTCCACAGGCTGCCATAGGTATGGTACTCCGGGTGCCTGCTTCTCCCGCCTCTGAACGGGCCGTGGGGCCTGCCCCAGGGCCACTAGCTTTGGAGTAGGCTGACCTTGGGTGTGAATCTGGCCCTACTGGCGGTTAGCTGTGTGCCCTTGGGCAAGTGGCCTCACCCCTCTGCCTCAGATTCCTTGCCTACAACATGGAAATAAAGATTTCCTCCTCGTAGAGCGGGCTCCAGGTAAGGGCTGACGCCTTACCTTTCTCCCTGAGGTCCCCTGGAGAGACGAGCAGAGCCCCTCTGGGGACTGAGGTGTGCTTGAGGGTAAAGCTTATGAATTGAGTGGGGAGTTGGGGCTCAGGGGAAGGGCGGGGCCATCCATCTCCATCTGCTAAGGAACCGAGGAGGCCGGGTCATCTAGCAGTGGTGGGGCTGCTAAGTTAAAAAAAAAAAAAAGCAGAAAAATACATACTTATACTAAAAAATATTGTTTTTTTATCTGAAATTCAATTTGATGTCCTGATGGCAACCCTAACGGTGGGGCCTTGGACACTGCTGGTAGAATCGGGACCCCATCCTGGAGGAGCTGGAGGCAAGGCCATTTCTCCCATTGGGCCCAGCTTCCTGGCCTCTTGTTCTTTTTGGGGGGTGGCAGTTAGCAGAATGGTAACAAGCCAGGGCTTTTTCTCCAGTCCAACCCTGCCACTGCCACTGTGAGCTCAGCTGAGTGACTTGGTGTCTCTCTGGCTCTGTTTCACCACCCACAAACATGGGGATAATAACGATACCCACTGCTGTGACGTTTTGAGGTTTAAATGCAGGTGGGACCCTGGCATGTGGTAATCAATGGCTCAGTGCATGGCAGCTGCTATCACTGGGGTGTTGGCAGGATGGGCCGCCTGTGCTGTGCTCTGAGCCCCCGGGCAGAGCCCAGGGAGGACTCTCCCCCCCTCCACCCCACCCCGAGCCTCCGTGTTCTTTTCTGAAGGGTGGGGGACCAGCACGGTAGTCATACCTTCTCCATAGCGTGGGTGGCTTCCTGGGTCCCGGCCTTCTGGATTCGCTGGGGACTCGCTGGGGTGGGCTCTCCCGAGGACGGGGCATGTCCATGAACATCACAGGCGTGTGTGGTCACCTCCAGCCCTGCCAACTGTCTGGATGGGTGGGAAGGGCTCAGTTCAGCTCTCAATTATCCAGGGATGGGCCTCCTGATTTTTCCTTCTGATAAGGAGCTGTGCCTAATTGCCTGGGTCTCAGGATCCTGAACAGAATCTTGGGAACAAGGTCATTTTCTGATTCATGGCCGTGGCCTTGGGTCCCAGGATGTCCGCACCCCTCGCCGCTGTCCTAGGCACCCTGAACCCTTTCTCCTACACACCAAGGGGCCAGACATGCAAACTGAGAGCAAAAGTATCTTATGATGAAATCAATTCATTTCCGTTCAGCAAACATTTGATGAAAGTTTACTGTTCTGGGTGTATCTGACATTGCGGGCTGGTTTCATCTGGTTGAACTAGTCTCTTTGCCACTTTCTGACACTTTGAGAGCTTCCCATGGTCTTCACGAATAAATTCAAATCCCCCCAGCCCCTCGCAGCCGTGTTCTCAGCCCCATCATCCTTGCTCACGTCTTCACTTCCACTGGGCCACTTGCTGTTCTCTGTTCTGGCCTCAGCCTGGAATACCCCCGACCCGTAACCTGAGCCTGTCAGACCACTGCTCCCCCTTTAAGGCTCTGCACAGGGGCAGCCTTGTGCCGAAGCCGCGCCCCACATAAGCCCCCTCCTCTCTTTAGCACCGGCTCAGTCTCTGGGCTTTTACATTATTCTCCGACTGTATCTGCCTGCCTTACCCTGTAGTGAGCTCCTTGACATTGAGGGGCCATGTCTGTCTTCTGCTTGAACCTCCCGGCCCAGGGGCTCTCGGGGACAGTTCACTGGATGCGGGCATGACTGTGTTGATTGCTGGGCTAACTGAAGCTATTTGTACTCTTAAAGGGAGAAGGTGCAGAAATAACCTAAGTCCCTGGACACAGCCTGGGGGCCGGGTCACCTGGGGCTGGGCCTGGCCTGTGAATGGGGAGGGGCTCTCCATCTCACCCAGGGTCAGGGCCTGGGCTATGACTCAAGGCAATAATAATAGTAATAACGTTAATGATAATGATGATGCAATGACAGTGATGGTAAGTAGAATCGTCATTGTAAGAACAGCTAACATTTAGCGAGCCCATACCTCGCACCGGGTGCTTTAATGTCTGTCAGTTCATTCCATCCTCCCAACAGCCCTGTAAGGCAGTTATTATTATTGTCCTCATTTGACAGATCAGGAAACTGCAGCTTGGTGGGGTGGGGGGAAGGGCGGTGAAATAACTTGACACTCACACAGCCAGTATAAGGGAGAGCTGGAGTCTGAACCCAGGTGGTCTGACTGTGAAACCGTAGTGACTACAATGATACAGGCCACGTGCAAAGGGAACCCTCCCCCCACTGTATGCCCAGCAGATTCAAGAGGGCAGGACCATGGGCACTGAATCCCCTTTGGTCAGGATAGGTCTGAATCTGGTGGTCCAGAAATAGTGGGCAGGGACTTTGAGGTCATTTATTCCAGTATTTTTTAAACTTTTAAAACTGCAACCCATAGACCTGACAATAGGGGTGTGTGTGTGTGTATTCAGCAAATAATTATGTGCCTACCATATGTCAGGCACATTACCAGATGCTGGGAATATGACAGTGAAACAGACAAGAATACCTGCCCTCAGGAAGCTTACATTCTAGCAGAGGAGACAGACAGTAAAATAAATAAAACATACTGTGTGTCACATGCTGATAAGGGCCACAGAGAAAAAGAAAGCAGGCATGGCCAATCGGGAGCCCCCGGGTGTCACTGGGGGCAGCTTTGGTCCTGGCAGCCTCGTTGGAATCTGATGTATGGTAAAGACTTGAAGGAGGTGAGAGCAGGAGAAGACGCCTGGGGGAAAGAACATTCTGGACCCCAGGACTGAAAGTGCAAATGTCCTGAGGCAGGAACAGAGCTGGCGCCTTACACGGTACACGGTACAGGTGTGGCTGGAGTGGAATGAGCAAGGGGAGAACAGTAGAAGATGCTGTACACGCACATTTTATATGTGTGTGTACATATACATATCCAAAACGCAAGTGTTGAAAGCAATATCAAAAGTAATACCAAATGTGCCTGGGGAGGGCCTGTCAGCTCTGGGTTTCTGCTGCAGTCAAGCAGCTGAGGAAGGGTCTTCTTGAATTTGATACACTTGCGCCTAAAATGTTCTGCTCTGGAAACCCCAGGTCACTATGGGTGGGGCGGGGGGGTTTGGATTTTTCTGGTCAGTGAGACTGCTAGAATCAGATATGTCCATCTGTCCATCCGTTGGCCCATCTAGCTGTCTCTCTGCTCCATCCACCTCCCCACCCATTTACTTATCGATCCATCTGTGGACAGTCCTGTCCTCAAGGATCTCGGGCAGGGAGGGGACAGAAATTACAGCAGGTGTCACTGTGTAACACTCACATCCCAGGCACTATGCCAAGAGCTACATCTGCCAGAGCAGTTCTCCACCAGGGGCAGCTTCGTCCCCCAGGGGACATTTGGCAATGTCTGCAGACATTTTTGGTTGTCATAGCTGGAGGGTAGAGGCCAGGAATGCTGCTACACATCCTATAGAGCCCCCCAGCACAAAGACCATGCAGCCCCGATAGGAGGCTGAGAAACCCTGACCCACATCTCACGTCACATTCACATTAGCCTTATGAGGTAGGTGCTGTTGTCTCATTCTCCAGTTTACAGGGAAGAAACCAAGGTTCAGTGAGGTGAATGGGACCCAGACAGGACTGGGTGGGCCCCAAGCTCATGCTCTAAAATGTGTGACATGAGCTGTGACAGGCCTGCTCCGGGCAGCCCAGGGAGGGGCGATCAGCTTCAAACCAGCCCACGTTGTCCCTTGGTTTGGGAGTGGGTTTGCACGGGGTAGGGAGATGGGCTAAATGGACGCTTGAGGTTCTGTTTAGGCTCAGATTCTAGAAAAGAAGTCTTCTAAGGAAGAAGACTGGGGGATCTCAGCTTGCTGAAAAGGGCCGAAGGCGAGGGCTTGTTACACTCTTTAGGATAGAGGATCCATTTCTTCACTTGTTGAATGAAACAAGTGAAGTTCTTGTTCAAGTTTTCTGAATTCTGCCCGTCAACTGAAAAAAAATGCACAACGTAAAAGGAGAGAATTATGTTTTACTTGCCGGACTTACTGAGGACTTAAGCCCGGGAGGCAACCTCTCAGATAGCTCTGAGGGACTGCTCCTAAGAGGTGAGGGGGAGCCAGGATATAGAGGAGTTTTTGCAACAAAGATCAGGTAATGAGAACATCAAAAGATTACTGTTAACTAAAGAAAACCAGGCATCTCAAGTTAATGGAAGTTAGCACTCTTCTGTATATGGGAAGTGCAAGAGGCTGGGCTCTTTGAAATCATTCCTTTGATATGCGCTTTAGCTATCTGGGGCCAGCATCCTGTTCTCTCGGTCCTGAATCCCCTCAGGGTGCACCACTGGGGTGGCTGCAGTGGGCGACATACCCCAGGCCAGGACCTGCCCCCTTAAAGGGGCAAAATAAATCATTACACATTTTACAGGAACAGATGAAGAAAACAAGAGGCTAAGACAGAGAAGGGATGTGGGCAGGGGTCCTCCCAGGGGAGAGAAGCAGGGAGTAAGGCCGGGTTGACCTTCATGCTGGGAGCCCTGCCCCAGCCAGTCTGTGCCCTGGTACCCGAAAGCTGGCTGCCTTCAGGCTCCCCTCCCCCATGCATACCAAATAAAGCACAGGGTGCCGAGCTCATTCGCATATATGCAAAATGCAAAGACGTATCACACATGGAAATACACACGAAGGTGTGTGCCCAGACGCACGTGGGCAGATGCATTTATAAACCCCCCTTGCTTACAAAATAGGAAAGTAGAAAACAAGACAACCAGAGACTTCCATTCAAGTCCAGATGCACACACGCTCGCCTTAGAAGCTTGCTCCCTGCCCTCCCTCTACTGCCCATCTGCTTAGAGCCCCAAGCCACCCACGGGAACCTCGGGGCACAGGAGGGCCACCTGACCTGGGCATGGGTTTAATCTAGTCTCTGGGAACTGCCCGCGTGCTCTCTCTCGGACCCCCAGCTTCTCCCCACTTCCAGCCCTCTCTCTGGACCAAACCCTGAGACCCCACAGCAGGCTAACTCCTCCTCCCTTCCAGGAGATCCGCTGCTTCCTGGAGGCCCAGGCCCCTCCCCCGAGGCAGAGGACGACCCTGGCGAGGCCTTTGAGTTTGATGACAGTGACGATGATGACGAGGACAACAGTGCTGGCCTGGGCGTCCCAGGCGCTGCTCCAGAGAAGGAGGCAGGAGACGCCCCACTGATCCACTTGGACTCCGCCCCCGTCGCTGGTAAGGTGCTCTGGAAGCCCAGGGTCTTCCCATTTCCGGGCCTCCGGGGCTACAGGGAGCTCAGGGCTGCATGGAGGCTCCAGGCTCCCAGTGATGCCTTGTGGCTCCTCCACTGTCCCCAGAAAGCAGGAAGGGAAGACAGACCACTGGGAAGAAGCTGCATTCCATCGCTCCCATTGGGAATTGGAGATTCCTAGCATTCCTGCAGCATCTGGCGCACTTTGGCACGTCCTAAATGGCAGTGGTTGGCCGTCAATGGCAGTGGTTGGCTGTCGGTTGTGCTTCAGTGACAGTTACTTCCCAGAGCTTGTCTCTCTGAAGCTCCCCTCTCCCCGCAGCTTCTCCCAGGGAATCACAGCCGCCAGAGCAGCAGCCTCCCAGAGCCCTGGGGGCAGGAAGGCCCTGATAAGGGGCGTTAAATGGCAGCTTCTGTCATCGGGAGGGACTGGGGACTGGACCGGCAGGAACTTCCTGCAGGCTTGGGGACAAGGGGCTCCTTGAGGGGCTGCGGGTGAGGGCAGGCCCGGAGCAGGCAGCGTTACTGGTTTTGGTCGGAGCTGGGATGTGGGCCAGGGGGCTGGGGGTGGGAACAGGCAGGTAGGACCGGTAGGGGAGCGTAATGATAGTGTGGGGCTGGGGGAAGGCAGGCAGGGACGCAGCAGGCACCGGGCTGGCGGCCCCGTCTCTGGGGCCCCCGGGGAAGCTGGGAAAGGGGGCGGGGATGCGCTGAGTCCCTCGGGCCAGCCGCTGGCCTGACGGGCTCTGCCTCTGCTCTCCTCCCCAGACCCAGACCAAGCGGCTGCAGCACCCCAGACACAGTAAGTGAGCCTCGTTCTTTTGCTCTGGCAGCTGGAAAACGAGGAGAGACCGGGCAGGAGATGTGGGAAGGGGTGGAACTGCGGCTGTGAGGGCTCAGGACAGGTCTTTGGCTAAGGAGAAACGCATTTCAGGATCCCTGGGCTGGAGGGAAGAGGTCAGTCCCTAAAACGTGTTACTTTTTCCTTTATTTTTCCCACAAGCATGTGAAGTAGAAAGCAGGCCTGGCTCCACATCCTGGCTTTGTCCCCTGCCAGCTGTGTGGCTAGAAGGAGTCACATAAACTCTCCAAAGTCAGTCTGTTCACATGCAAAATGAAAACAATGAAGTAGCCACCCACTCCATTGGGCTGTGGCTGGGAATTAGCTCTCTGGTGCTCCACGCGGTGCCACCCTCTGTAATTGTCTTTGCCATCACCATTTGTTTTGCCAGTATCGTTCCTGCTCCCTTTCCTGTGACTGTTGCTGGGGACTCTGCCCTTCTCCACCTGGGAGTCTGAGTCAGGGCAGCCTAAAGGCTAACACCCCTGGGTGTTGGGGTGATTGCCGGCATCGTACTCTGGGCCCAGCACTGGTCATGGGTCCTTGTGTAAGTCCCAGTCCCCCAGGCCTTGGTTTTCTCATCTGTAAAATGGGCCACTGCTTCCTCCATAGAAGAATGAAGAACTGCTGGGTAAGACACCTAGAGACACCGCAGGCACCTAATCAAGGCAGTTTTGCCACCACTCCCTCTGTGGTCTTCAGCAAGTTGGACCACGCATTTGGGAGTCGGGGGCTATGAAAGCTGAGGCCTCTTGGAGCTTTGCTCACTGGTGCTCACTGTTCGGCTTTCAGGACCTGGGTGTTTAGAGAGTCCTCTTCTAAGGGAAGCCTCAGTGGTGGATCTAGGCCCTGGAGTTGATGGCCGGGGCCCCTGGGGTCCTGAGTTTAAATCCTGGCTGCCCTAGTCTGGGGAGGGGTGTCTGAGCCTCCCTTTGTTTTTCTAGAGTGAGCTGAATCGGGCGGCTAATTCTCAGGTAGGTGTCACCCAGCTGGAGGTCTCAGAGATGCAGGTTGTGGCCCTGGGTCCGGGAGCCAGGGCAATTCTGGATTCAAATTCAAGCCTAGGAGTCCTTGTTTGTGCTCATTTGCTTGTTGGAGTGGGTGGATCCTGGGAGGGTTTCTGCTGGGCTTGCCACTGTGTAATTACCACCAGAAGAGGGGCCAGGTTCTCTCCTCCCTGGTTAGGAACCTGAAGTGAATCAGCGATTCTGCACCTGGGCTGGGAAGTCCTGACATTGCTGTGATCTCCCAGGGGTTACATCCCTCCAGGCTGGGCCAGGGATAAAGCCACCCAGAAACTCAGTCTGAACAGGGAAGCAGACTCATCCAGGTGGGACAGAGGGTGCCCAGGGAACACTGACTGGAGCGGGGCTAGGGGGGGTCTTGGCTGAGCAAGGGAGCATAAATTCACCGGGGGAGAGAGAGGAGGGCTCCACACGAGGAAGCCACTGAGCAGGGACGGGGGGCAGGGGGTTGGGAAACGGTGTGGGCAGCCAGCAAGTGCACCCCTTCCAGGAGTCTGGCACTTGCTTTTCTCAGGCCATCCTTCTGGAGACCCTGGTTCCCTGACCTCAGAGTCAGGAGCACAGCTGTCTGGCCTGGCCCTGCCGCCTTCTCTCTGTGTGTCCTGGAGACCTGGTGACTGCGGCCAGACGCTGTGTCTGGCTGGCGCTGGTGCCCCGTGGAGGCCTTGTTGCAGTGGCCCCCAGAGCTGGTGCTATACTGCGTCAGAATCACTCAGTGTGGGCCACGCGTTTCTGGGAGAGGGGCCCGGCCTCTGCCTTTAACCCACCACCCGCCATTCCGTAGCATGCCCACCTATCCTATACCTGGTCCTGGTGTTGGCCCAGCTCCCTTGAACACCATCTCCTGGAGGTTCAGATCCTCACTCAGCCCTTCACTAGCTGGGTGGCTTTGGGCTCTGTGAAGCTCTCCGAGCCTCAGTTTCTGCATCTGTAAGATGGGCGTGTTCTCTGCCACTAAGCATCGCGAGGAATAAGTGAGGCTGGTTGCTTCTGCTCCTGCCTCCTGACCAGTTTGGATGTTTCCAGTGCGATGGGGCCGAAGGGGCTGAGACTGTGTGCCCAGTGCCTCTGACTCCTGGGCTGGGCCTGGGTTGCCAACAGGTGTGAATAAACATCACTTTTGAGAGCCCTTGATGGGGCATTCATGGGCTGTGAGTCCCCTGCAGAATATTGATTGCAGCAGGAGTCCCGAGAGACTTCCTTTGTCGCCCCCTTAATTTTACAGATGGAGAGACTGAGGGGTGGGGCTTGCCCACAGTCCCCCAGTGAGATGCTGGAGGCCTCCTGACTCTTTGTCTGTCAAGTGTCTCTGTGCTGCTCCCAGCTTTGTTCCCTCCCTTCCAGGTCTCCGTTTACTTAAGTTCCACCTCCTTCCCCGGATGGTGAATTTCCACTCTGGAGTCCTCTGGGAGAAGAGTCAATCCAGATCGCTTTCCTTCTCCTTGGTATCCAAGACAAAGGGAAAAAAAAATATCTTGATTTTCTTTCTTTCTTTTGTTTTTTTAAAAAAAATTTTCCCAAAGGTAGTCACTAAGCAGACATTGCTTTGAATAAGCAAATCTCCAAGCGGAGGACATTTCATCTCTTCTCACTGCATTTCTTTCACGGTCCCTCTGCCTGAAGGCTTGGAAATGGCCTTGGGCTTTGCCTCGCTGCCTACCTGGCCTCAAGAAAAGCAAGGGCTGCCTGACTCGAGGCTCCTGACAGCACAGTTAGAACCACTGCCCAGATCCGGGCAGCCTCAAAGTGACCTCACTCCCTCCCCAGCTCTCATCCACAGCTGGGGAGGGGAGTGGGTGGGAGCGCCGTGGCTAAAGTGAGGGCTGGAGTCCGGGTCTTCGAGGGCCTGGGAGCTCGGGCTCTGAGCCGCAGAGAGCTGGCTTCGAGTCTCACCTGTTACTTAATACCTGTGTGTCATTGGGCAAGTTAACATTTATTCGGTGCTGCATCAGTGGTTACGAGGACAGCTGAGGCTGACGGGCAGTCCAGGTGACCTGGGCAGGGGCACCGGGTCCCTGTCTGGCTGTGAGGCCTGTGGACTTCCGGGTCCCTTCACCTGGTAGGTGGGATTGCCCAGAGGAGGCAGCCAGGCTGTTATGGGGTAGGCAGAGTTGCTGGCTTTGCTGAGTGTGTGTGGCGCCGAGGCCCACGGGGTGATTTTAGGGTCGGGCCCCGCTGCTGCTCCAGAATCCCAAGGAGTGAGGGGGCCTGGGCTCTCGTCCGTCCTCCTGCCGGCAAAAGAACCTTCAGCCTGCTCGGCTAGCTACTGCCACTTTCTCTTTCCGAAACGGGACGTATTATCAGATAACAGCAACAACGACAACAGCAATAATAGCGAATGATAACAGTAATAACAGTGATTGTGCTTACTGTGTACCAGGCGCCAAGCTAAATGCCCAGTCCCATCTCTTGTCTCTAGGAAGTGGACACTTCATTACCCATGTCACAGGTGGGAGATTGAGACTTGGGGAAGTTAGGTGGCCAGAGTTACATATAGATGGTACATGTTCATTCAACAGAGACTTAGAACCAGGGCCTCTCCGACCAGAGGCCAGGTGTTTGACCATCACCCGACCCTCCAGGGATGCGCTGGGGACTCAGGATCCAAGCTCAGGACTTAAGACTTCGGTTCATGCTGGGAGGGGTGGCTGGCTCCATAGGAATGATCCCCTTCGGTGTGTGTTTATTGGGGTAAGAACTTTGCCTCTTATGAGATCTAACTTTGCCTCTTGAGCTCTTGGGAGAGTAGTGTCCAAGCTGTTGCTGGAATGTTCCATAGACCCCACCTGGGGAGCCAAGCAGAGTGGCCTCGGCCCTGCCTGTGTGTGATTCTGGGTGGCGCCCGTTCCCTTGAGATGGGAGCAGGGTAAAAGCAGCCCCCTCCCCTCTTGCCCCACACAGAGGTCTTGTGATGGTAGAGGGGTGTGGAAGGGCGTCTGCACCTGCAGGACGGCTCCATGGGGCCAGGGATTTTTCTTGGCGGGGGAGGCGGGTATTTTGTTTGCTGCCATATCCTCCTGGCTTAGCATGGTGCCAGGCACAGGGCGAGTGCCGAAGGCATCCCCGTTGAATGAACGATGGATTCCAATGGACAGAAGGAGGAGCCGGGTCTGAAAGGCGACTCTCAGTGTCTCCGTGAAAATGAAGAGAAAACAAACCGTGTGGAAACAGAATCTCTGACCCGGGGTTCTGACTCTGGCAGCTGACTGAGGCCAGGACAGAGGCCCGCGGGAAGGGAGGCCTCAAGCGGCTGAGTGGCTGATCCCGCCGATGCCACTCATGTCGGCTGCTGTTTCCTGAGTCACCGTCCGAGTTGAGTGCTTCCTGCACAAGGTCTCATCTCCTCGGCAATGCAGCCCTAGGAGGCGGGGCTACCGATTATGCCCATTTTGCAGATGAGGAACTGAGGCTTAGAGTTGAAGTAGTTTACCCGAGATCTTGCAGAGCTGGTGAATGGCAGGGCTGCAGCTTGGCCCGTCTGACTCCACAGCCATCCATCCGCTGGAGCTCACAGGGCTAGCCTTTCTGGTGGACTTTGAAACCTGTGAACTCACAGCCACCCTGAGCACCCAGTAAGTACTTGCTGGGAAGTGAGAGCGCGTAGGTCGCCCGCTCCCTGTGTTTTCCCGGACTCGGGCCGTGTCTCTCACCTCTGAGCGCACCATGCCCTCTGGATTTGTTTGCTTTTCCTGGCCAGTTTCGCTGCCATCCCCACCGGCCCCACTGCAGCCTCAGCGTTTCCTGTTGGCTCCTGGCCCGGCTGCAGGGACCCTCAGTGGCTCCCGGGAGGTACTTGTCCTGCCCCTTCCTGGGCTTATCCAGGCAAGATGGACTGTGTTGCCCACTGGCCAGCATCTCTCACCCGGGCCTGGAGCCTGAGGGAAGCAGCTGGGCAGCTGGGAGAGCCAAGGAGACCCATCCTCCCTGGACGCATCA